TTTTAACAGAGGATATTAATATAATTAATATAATTGAATGTATTTGTTTACTTACTTATCTAAGATAGGGTGTTTTTATATATCCAAGCTGGCCTTGAGTTTTATGAACCACCCTCTTTAGCACACCAAATGCTGGATTACAGTTGTATGCTACCATACCTGGATTAATTTGTTATTAGGGATCTGTTTCTACTGATACTGGTCTGGGAAAAGATGTCTACCCTGAGGATTAGATGAATCAACCCTCTTTATCTAAAAATATCTATTTAAACTTGCAAACAGCCTTCAGATATTCTGGCAATCAGTTCACTCTACATTCAAACCAGTGAAGTGAAAAAGAATGTTCCAAGAAGCTCCTGCTGTAACTGATTGTTTTGTAACAAGACAGTGGAAATTTTAATAGCAAATGTTGTATTCCTTAAAGTATTTCCAAACAGAACATTTTGTGTCAATCACCATGGACAGCCATTCCTCCACTCCCAGGCCACGGAGGAGCACTTAAACATCTTCACATCTGTGTCCAAAGCCTGGCCACCACTGACAAACCTGGCAGAATATTTTATTTTGAGGGATTCTCATAAGAGTGCCTGATGTGTTCATTGTGAACTTGCAAAAATACTTGTGTGTGTGGTGGTGTGATGTATTTTAAAATATCTTGTTTTATCTCAAGTTGATCAACTTCAGCAGATAGTTGGCAGGGCTGTGGTTCTTCTTTCACTCTCAGTATGGCCACTGGAGACTCTTTGAACCTTCCTCAATCTGAGTCCCATGTTGAAGGATTAAGTACAAAGGAATGCCTTTCCCAGTATTGACGGCCCTTTCCAAATCAATTATCATGAAGCGTTTGTTTCAGTTTTGCTCCAGGTTTTGGTGTTTATACAGTAGGGCAGCAGGAAGAGCCTATTTTATTGTGGTTCAGAAATGTTATTTTATTTACATCATAGTTAAATGGTGTATGGATATATTGTTTATCATGGATAATATCATCCATCAGATAATATTTATTGAACAGCTTCAAATAGTCTCATCATAACTCTTATTGATGAAAATTACTTAGCTATCCTAAGTAATTGTACTAATATATCTTCATCCATCCAAATTACTTATTATATGCACTGTAGAATTATATAGTTCTTGATGAAGTCTCTTCAAGCAGCTGAATGTGGAGTGAAACAAATACAGATATACTAGCCCTGCATTTAGTAGTACAATTTGTGGTTAATAAATTGCAACAAGGAAAAATAAAAACTGAGATGTTTAATATTCTCTAAAGTTATAGATGCTCATTAAATTAGTAGGTAAGCATGATGATAGTTATACTTTTTTCATCTCTAATGAAGCCTAATGAAACATAGTATTTATTTGACATATTATTTTTCATATATAAGTCTGAGAATAATTTATGTAATCCAATCCCTCCATTTTTCGTGTTTGTGGTATTTATATGTATTAGCATGTGAGTGTGTGCACATGTGCATGTGTGTGTGTGCAAACATGTGTGTATCTGTGTTGTGGAGACCAAAGTTTAGCATCATGGTTCTTTCTCAATTATCCTATGCTTTTAGTTTTTTTAGATGGGGTTTCTGAACCTGTAACTCAGTGATTTGGCTAGACTGTTTAACCAGTCATCTACAGGGCTCTGCCTATCCCTACCAGCCCAACAAATGATGTTGGGTTAGCATACCAGCTGGCAGACCCAGCTTTTAGGTAGATGTTGCAGATCTGAATTCAAATGGTCAAGTTTGTGAGGAAGGTATTTTACTGACCAAACCCTCATAACTTTGGTTTGATGTTATCATACTAATATGGCTTTGTTGTTGTTGTGTTTTTAGTGAATATTGACTTTTAAAAATGATTTTTCATCAAAATCTGTAAAATATCCTCCTGAAGTGATAAGCATGGTGATTTATGTCTTAACCCAATCTTCGAGTTTTAAAAGGAAGCCATCACTGTATCAAAAACTAGCTTAAACAATAATTATGACAATAATAATGATTTAAATGATGAGTGTCTTGTAATAACAATTAAAAGTGGGCTGTTTTTAATTAACTCTTATTTGGCAATTTCTTCATCTAAGTTAACTCCAGCAATACAGGGTTCTCAACTTGACTATGAAATTAGAGTTGGTAAAATATTAGTGAGATAATTTTCCTGATGTCATTACACAATTGAGTTTCTTTGCATTAATTAGTTTTATTTACAATATATTTTAAAAACATTCTTAACTTCAGCAAACTCCTCCCTAACTCTATCACTTTCCAGTCTATCTAATTTCATGTTCTTTTCTCACTTTGATTTTATTAGGGACAGAATTTTTATGCTGTAGATTTCCTGAAATTTAAAAATGTGCCCACTCATTGAAATTATTTATCTTGTATTGATATTTTAAATTTGTTTACTTCTCAAGTTTTTTGATAACTATGTTGTTGCTCACAACCACTCATTGTTTTTGCCAGATATTTATTTCCTAATAAGTTATGGTCATCTTTACTTATTTTAATAATCTTCTCACTAAATACATTTCAACTTGTCTTTGAACTGAAAAATCTATGTAGTATTTCAGATATTAGCACTCATAGATTTCATTCAATATTTAAGGTCATACTGAATAATGAACAGTGAGTTGAGTCAAAATGTCCTGTTTCCAGATATCCCTCCTGCATCTTTTTTTTTTTTTCTGATCTAAAAGAAGCCTCACACAGTAGAGAAAGCAGCATTCAGAATCTGTTTATATATGAAAACATTCTATCAGGTAATGGCCAAATTCCAGGTTATGTCTGAGTATCTTATCTTTTCACTTTTCACCCTTGGTTAGTATCTGTCAAGTCAGACCATGTTCATTTCTTTGGAATTAAGCTTGAGCGAATTTCTGAGGGAAATTATCAGCCCATATGTAGTCATTGTGGCCATGACTGATATCCAGGAAACTGAACTGTGCTTTACAGGAGCATAGGAGTAGCATACCAAGGGCAGAGCTGGGCAAGAGCAGGTCACCAGTAAACAGAACAGAAAATGCACAAATAAGGGGACAGTCAAGCCATAGCAACTGAGGAACCTATGGATTCCTTAAGACATATAACTTAGTCCTATCATGGTATTATAGTACAAGGTTAGCATAATTATCCTAGAGTTATTTTCATTCAAAAACATTCCACATAAATGTAGTCTCCAATAGATTTAAAACTATCCAACTTAATAGTATTCACTTTGATGAAATATAGTTACCAGGGACTATGAAATCCATCTTATTTTGTATAATATTAAAGACTTTTAGGTAATATTAATATTAAGTCTTGGGTCTTCAGTACAAACTCCTATCTAAGCCATTTACTAGAACAAAAATTTATCCATCTATCTATCACCTACCTATCTATCACTAATATCACTGTTATTTTATGTGTTGCTCTCAAACAGCAATATAGAGATGGATCGCCAAACATTTTTATCTTCATTTAAATTTCTTTATAAATTAGGATGTTTCTGAGCTACAGTTCTGTTTTCTAAAGGCATGCATAAAATACAAAATATTTTAAATGAATTACAGCAAAGTTATTATTTTAGTAAGTTTTAGGGGGAAATTAGAGGAAATCCCGTCATTTCAGTTTCTTTTCTGGTTATTGTTAGAGAACACCCGGAGAAAGATGCTTAAAGGAGAAAGAATGTGTTCTGGCTCGCAGATTACAGTCACAGTCCTCATGGTGGGAATGTCAGGGTGGTAAATCCTGAGACACTGGTTCATGTTCCAGGAAGCAGGCAGCATGAATGAGTGTTGCTCAGCTCCCTTCTCTGCTGTCCAGGATCCCAGCCACAGAACTGTGCCACTCATATGTGAGTGGTTTCCCCCCTCAATGAAAATTACCCAGGCCACAGGCATGCTCTGAGGCCCACCTTCCACAAATTCTAGATTTTTGTCAACTAGAAGTGACTTTTTGTATAATTGCCATATTTATTTTTATTGTTGTTTATATGTATTGAACAAAGATTCATGGGACAATGCTAAACATGCATAAACATACCTCAGGAATCTTAATGAAATGAAATATCTATCTATATATAAAAGAGAAATAAACTTAGGAAAAGCCATTTCTGATAACCTTATACTGCTACATATAGAAATCATGTATAGAACATTCTGTATTTGAAAAGGTGACCCATCGAGTTCTATAATGTAATGCCACAGAGAAACTTACTTAAGTCTAAACAATCTGCAATGGTTAAAAACTTGGCTTTTATCCAGAGATTGTTGCATGATCATTTGCCATCAAGGTATCTGGGGACTTTACCTCTGACTTCATCAAACCTTTTTGCATTTTACTTTGGGGTTTGTTTAGAAGAAGGGTGTTAGCAAGATCCTGGCTGGTCTCAAACCTCAGTCTCCCCACCCCCTACCAGCCTTCTGAGTGCCCAAATCCTTGTGTACATCCTCACACTCACCTCCTAAATTGTTCCCAGTTACACTTGGTTGAAACTACATTCAACACAAAAAGAATGACTCAGGTTTATGGCAAAAATTAATTTTATGATGCTTTTTACACAGTAACTGAGATTATACATATTTCATGGTGTGCGATAGTTGGAAAAGAAAAATAGGAACAAATCAAATTTTAATTTCCTAAAATTTGGTTGAAAGGAAAATAATGTATTAACCTACATAAGATTTAACCATATAAAAGAAAATTGGTGCTCCTTAAATTATTGAATTTGTATGTACAGAAGAGAGGACTTTAGGAATGATACTGTAGTCATTTCAGAAAGAACTGATTTCAGCATTCATATTATAGACTTATGTGGAAGTAAGTATCTTTACAAAACTCTCCATGAAAAAAAAATAATTTAGGGTTGAAATGAAAGGAAAATTGGAATGGAGGTAGAGTTAATTTATATTTAAACTTTACAAATGACAAAAAAATCCCTGTACCACCAATGCAGTGGTCACTGAAAGGGCGAAGCCATGATGAAAGAAGGGTTTTCTTTACGCTCATATTTGTTTCCACCACCAGCTCACAGTACTGTGAATGATACCGATGTCCCTATGGAAACCACCGAATGCATTCAAGGCCAAGGAGAAGGCTACAGGGGAACCAGCAATACCATTTGGAATGGGATTCCCTGCCAGCGCTGGGATTCTCAGTACCCTCACCAGCATGATGTAACGCCTGAGAACTTCAAGTGCAAGTGAGTCTGCTTTGGAAATGCTGCAAACTTTAGCAGTTCCTAGGGAAGTGGGTCAGATTGGTTTTTGCTCACTTCTGTATTAGTAACCCTCAAAATGTATTGGCCTAGATATACTTAAGAAAAATGGTGGATGCTCTTCTTTTGGGGCTTCAGAGAGCATTCTGTGTAGCACTGATCTAGGGGATTTTTATACTGGTAATTAGACCAATTTTAAATTAGAAACAAGGTTCACTTACATGTCAATCCCAGTTCCCTCTCCCTCCCCTCCTACCCTGTCTCCCCACCCTTTATTCCAATCCTATATGCTCCCCAAAGAGGGTGAGGCCTTCCATGGGGGAATCTGAAAAGTCTCATATCTTTTGGAGTAGGGTCTAGACCCTCTCCTTTGTGTCTAGCCTGAGAGAGTATGCCTCTGTGTGGAATGGGATCCCAAAGTCCATTTGTGTACTAGGAATAAATACTGATCCACTACCAGAGGCCCCATAGATTACCCAGACCTCCAAACTGATATCTTCCCTCAGGGAGTCCAGAACAGTCCTGTGCTGGTTTCCCAGCTATCAGTCTGGGGTCCATGAGCAACCCCTTGTTCAGGTCAGCTGTTTATGTGGGTTTCTCCAGCCTGGGCTTGACCCCTTTGTTCATCATTCCTCCCTCTCTGCAACTAGATTCTAGAGTTCAGTTCAGTGTTTAGTTGTGGGTGTCTGCTTCTGCTTCCATCAGCTACTGGGTGAAGGCTCTAGAATAGCATATAAGGTAGTCATCAATCTCATTATCAGAGAAGGGCATTTAAGGTAGCCTCTCAACTATTGTTTACATTGTTAGTAGGGGTCAAACTTGTAGATCTCTGGATATTTCCCTAGTGCCAGAATTCTCTTTAAACCTATAATCGCTCCTTATATTATGGAATCTCTTTTCTTGCTCTCCTCTATTCTTTCCCTGACTAAATCTTCCTGCTCTCTCGTGTCCTCCTCTCCCCTCCTCCTCTCCCCTTCTCTTTCTTCTAGCTTCCTTCTCTCCTCCCTCCATGCTCCCAATTAGTTCAGGAGATATTGTCCCTATCCCCTTCTCTGGGGGACCATGTATGTCTCTCTTAGGATCCTCCTTGTTTCCTAGCATCTCTGGTGGTGTGGGTTGTAGGGTCGTAATTCTTTGCTCTATGTCTAAAATCCATATATGAGTGAGTAATCCCACTTTTGTCTTTTTGTGACTGGGTTACCTCACTCAGTATGGTTTATTCTAGTTCCATCCATTTGCCTGCGAATTTCAAGATTCCATTGTTTTTTTCCACTGAGTAGTACTCCATGACAAGGCATATTTTATAAAACTCATCTCTAGCTTCTTCCTCATTGCAATTTGGCTTGTAAAGATTTCTTTAAGAAATTAGTTTTTCATGATGGCTGTCTAGTTTTAGACTAGATGCTTTTCAAATTTTCTTGTTTACATAAAGGCAAGGATTGCATTTTCTTTCTTTTACAGTGTGGCACACTTTGATTTTCATCCATGCTTCAAACTGCTACATTTCCCGCCTTAAAATCTGTGATCAAAATTATTTTCAATAGTGTAAATATTTTTCCATTATTTCTGGATCTGTGCAAATAATGGGTGTCAAAAATGTAAATCAGCCCATAAACCTGGCATCAATTATTAATTGCATTGTGGACATGAATGTACACACATGGATATGAACCTATAGCTCCTTGTCCATCATTTGTCTTTTTGAATTGCCTAAGCCACACTGCCACGTGTTTTTAAATTGTCAATCTTGTTTGAAGGAACATGAAATAGTTGCCTTTGAAATTTAAAACATACATTCCATGCATAGAGGCTTTGCTGGAATAGCACCTATAAATGACATATAATTCCTGTATATAATAGACTTTTAATAAGATAACCTGACTAAGGAGGGTGGTAAGCCCTATACTCTAATGGCCCAATTGGAAAGGAGGTTTGTGCGTGTGTCATTGTACATGCTTATCCATGGGCTCATTTGTTAACACACTAGTTCTTGTTCTGATTTTGTCTTCATTGTTTTATAAGCACATAATTTATACTTATCATTGTGGTTTAAATGTTTGTTTGTCCTTCCCAGAAATCTATTCTCTACAACTTATCCAATATCTCATACCTCAGAGAGAATTAATGATTGGAACAGGAAAAACAACAAGAACAAGGAAAGATTAGTAGAAGGGACAAAGAAGTCCATGCTGGTGTCCATCCCACCATGTTACTCCTTAGTTATTGCCAACATTCAGATAAGGAGTTGTGTTAATAGACAGACAAGCTAACACAGAAGGGAAAGTCCCACAAGGCCACTTCCTCGATAGAGAAACTATAGCAAGTGGCCACTGAGAGGAATAATTAGCCTTACCCATGGATGACCCCCTTACCCCTGACTGGTTACCCAGTACAAAATGTTAATCCTTGAAACTATGCTCATAAAAACAAAAAAAAAATGGACCATGGAACTAATATTATCTTTGGTCATATACAACAATAATAATCAAAGAAAAAGGGGCCATCAATTTGAGAGTTGGGAGGTGATATGGAAGGGGTTCTGGAGGAAGGGAAGTGAAGTATTATAAGGGAAGAAGAGAAGTGATATAATTGTATTTTAATTTAAAATGCCAGAATAAGTAAGTACACAATATGAATTTAAAATAATACTAGCTAGTAAGCATATAAAAATACCTGGTTAACTTTCATCTATGAAGAGGACAGTTATAGATATCTGGTTTGTAAACTGCTTATTTGAAACTGAGTCATTGAGTTAAATTCTGCATTTTATTGGAATTTAAATTTTCCTTTCTGAATTAACTTATTTGACTAAAGTAACCCAGTATAAATTCCTCTCCAAAGTCTGGGCTATTATAACGCTACTTAAATGTGACACAATACTTTTCTCACGATATTGGTTTTCTATTTCCCCTTTCCAGTCTAGCAGAAACGGGAATTTTGGTTAGATGTCTTTGCTTTTATTAAATGGGGTTTGTCCCCATATAGACAATACTGTAATTGAGCAATGCTGTTTATCATAAATACACACTAATTATCTAGTAATCAGTTCACTTTAGGAACTGCAAATAACTCCTCAACTAAGTATATCAGAACCTAGAGACAATTTGGGCAAATCTCCATATTTGTTTGGGTCTGTTCTGGGCTAAGCTGGCAATTTTGGGATAGATTCTAAAACTAGGCCCATGAAGACTTTTGCAGTTTTAGATTCATTTAATTATCTTGCTTTGAATTAGAAGTGCAAAATAATTTAATTGAGCAATCATGTATCATAAATTTATCTGAATGCAATATAAAATATTGTAAACATATGTATGTATATGTATTTTATACAGGCCTAACAGTTTAAAATGTAATTTTATAATATTTTAAAGGAAATAAAAATTTTATTCATGTTTGGATATGAGTTGAACCCTTCCCATATTATAACTAATCATTGGTCCTTTTGACTCATTTTATTGAAAGGTTGTGTCAGTAACAAAAAGTCCCACAGAATCAACTAACCAGGCTCACAGGGGCTCATAGAGACTGAAGCAACTTTAAGACGCATCTTAGACTAGGGAACTGTATGCTTCTTATTAAAAAAAATGATGAACTATATACATAACTTACTCTGACAATTTACTCTACTGTTAGGCATGTGTATTATAACTGAATCTTAATTAATTGTTCAGCAACATTTATAAAGATAGTAAGTAACCTCCCTAAACTGAGAAAAACTTTGATTAGAAGAAATCTATGCACTAAACTATGTGTACCACGGAAATACATAAATCAGGGAAGAAAGAGACCTTTAATGGGCTATTTGGATAGTTTCAAATTCCATTTTAAATAAGAAGTGGCTGTTAGTAAGTTTTCTTCTACAAAGAGAATTATGAGCTTCCCCATTATTTATATATTTACTATGAATACTATATGTATATATATATGTATGTATGTATTATAGTGGGAGTCAAACTTTGATACTCAGTGAGGAGAAGTTAGTGTTGCTGTCTCTCTAGTCCCTCAGACAGCAGTCTGCCTGGAGACCTCTGAGGACAGTGTTTATTTTACAACCCTGGTGAGCATGTGTGTTGTCTACAGAGTTCTAAGTTATTATCACTGTTCTAATCCAAACCATGCGTACATCTGGGATACTAGAAATGTAGTGGTGATAACTTCACTAGGCGATTTACCTAAACATGCTTCCTCTCAATAGGGACCTTAGAGAAAATTATTGCCGCAATCCAGATGGGGCTGAATCACCATGGTGTTTTACCACTGATCCAAACATCCGAGTTGGCTACTGCTCGCAAATTCCCAAGTGTGACGTGTCAAGTGGACAAGGTAATAGCTGACATTTTGTAGTAGGGGTGTGATTAAATCCAAGGGAAATGCTTAGAAAGGGACACATTCTATTTCTTGTTGAACTGTTGTTGAGGCTTACAAGAAAGATCACGGAATAGGAATGGTGTAACTTATCCATCCATTCCTTCATTAATTCGTCCAGTATCCGTTTGCTCATTTATTTAGTTAGCTATTATTTAAGGAAGGCTGTGGTTCTGTTCCAGATAAAGAACCAGGACCAGAACACAAAGAACTGCTTTCTAGCAGGCAGGAAACGTAAAATGAAAACACTAGTGGGCTATTAAGGAAATTTGTGACTAGATGCCAGGGAGAAAATGAGCTGTGAGAGATATGATGATCTCTAGGTTTCCAAGATCAGGTGGATTTTCTCTGTCAGTTATGGGGGGGGTTAAGGAGAGTCGGGAGGACAGACAGCTACGCACCCCACCCCCGCATCCATACATGTAAAGAGCATTCTGGGAAACTGTAAATGCACATAGTTCAAGAGGAAAAAGTATTGCAAAAGTTTAATAGGAAATTAATCCTATCACTCTGGCTGTCACTAAATGAGCAAGAGGGACCAGTCAATGAAGTTATAAAGACAATAGGGTAAATTGCCTTGGCCGAACAGGAGCTCTCGGGACTGATGAAGGAAGCTCAGAAGTTATATGATCTGATTTGAGCTTCAGCTAGATCACACTGGATGCCTCATCGAAATACATTTCTCAGGGAGGGTTCCAGACAGAAGGGCCAATGAAGCAGTGCTCCAGCAGGCCCTGCAAAGCAAAGTGACTGGGACCTGTGTGTTAGTGAAGGTGACCTTTAAGGCGGGGCTTAGGGAAATGCCATTGACTTGGAAATGTAGGTCCCTTTAGATAGCCAATTCAGGGAGCAGTAGTAGACAGATTGAAGTTCACTGTGTGGAAATAATTGGCCAGTGGTGAATAATGTTGTTGCACTCTAGACACATACTGGTGTGCAATAAATTGAGAATTATACTCTTAATGATCATATTCTAGTTGATAGAAGCTTAAAAATCATGGCCATTGTCATGAAAAGTCCAAGCCTCCTTAAACTCCCCCTTTTTAGGCTCATTGCCTCTATATACTTCTGTCCTTTAACGTGTCCTCCAGGAACAGCTGTTTGTTTATAGACAGAGGCAGGGAGGGACTCCTTTCAGTCCATTTCACTATTTGCCAGACTTAAAGGTCAGCTGGAAATAAAGTTAAAACAATTAAGGGCAGTCTTCTGTGGCCCTGTCTCATTCACTAAGATGGTTGCAGAACCTGCAGTAGGAGAAATGGACACAGCTGTTTTGAGAGCTTCTGGTGTGTGCTGAGAGGTTTTCATACACAGAGGGCCACTCATATATTCTGACGTTGCTCTTATCCTTTTGGGTAATAGCAAGTATAAATTTTGTCTGTAGATTAGTAAGTTGGAAACAATTTCCAATTGGATAATAATAGAAAGTAAAAAATAAAATCATATAATTTCTTTAAAGTCTTATTAAAACAGTATTTGCTAGGTTATGAAGATATACAGCTTTATATATTTAGTCAACATCAGAAAATATAATATTCTGTACTAAAAGAATTGAGATGAAAGAAATCAAAAGAAAGAAAATAATCACTGTAAAGGCATAAAAATGCACCTCAGAAAAAAATATGGAATCAATGAATAAATTTGAAATATTTAAAAATTAACAAAATAGACAATAGTCAGCTATCCAACTCAGGAAAGAGAAAAACAAAACTAATAAAATAGCATTTGTCCAAGAGGAGAAGCAGCTACCAGAGCAAGTTATTAGGAAGTACCTATTACCTATCTTATGCATGAACCTTGAAAATACAGACACAATAACTAAATCATTTGAAACGTCTCTTCTTCATCCCCATGGAGAAAGAAGAGTGATGCCAAGGACCAGACTACTTCTCATCCGAGACAGTTTCCCACAATCCTGGGTATTCAGAAATACAGAATTGATATACAAGTTAAACATTTATAGTCAATAAATAATAAAGAAATTAATTTAAATACACATTTCTTAGGTATATTGCTACTTATTAAAGATTAGATAAAAATTGCATACTAATGAGATAGATAAGATTGTTTTTAGAAAACTCCAATCCTGACTGAATATTTGATACTCCAAAACACAGAATAATGCCAGTGTTGTTGGGTATTTTCATTTTACAATTTCCAATGTTGAGAATACTTTCACATAAATAACTAGCACAAAAAGACAGAAGTATGTTTAAGGCTATTTCAGAAAGCTTTCCTAATGCTTTTCTCATGCCAAGACAAAATTCATTAAACTACTTTCTGATATTCAAGTTAATAATTCAAAGCCCAACTTTAAAACATAAGCATTTAAATCCAAAGATTCTAATTTGTAATTTTGTACTGATTAATGATGACAGGAAAACATTCAACCTTTCTTATTCACAATAAAAGTACTGTGTTTTCATAAGAACAGAGACATTTGGTATTACAGTAAAAGCAATGACATCCATAGCATAGAGTTGGAGCAGATCAGAGTGGAAATGTTTCTAGCAGTGTTTGTTAGCATTACAGCATCATAGCAGGATGTGAATGAAAAATGTGCATGTAGCATGTCAGAAACAACGCTGTAGTGAAGTGTGAAGCAGCACAGGTGTGAGGCAGCGCAGGTGTGAAGCAGCGCAGGTGTGAGGAGCACAGGTGTGAAGCAGTGCAGGTGTGAGGCAGCACAGGTGTGAGGCAGCACAGGTGTGAGGCAGCGCAGGTGTGAGGCAGCACAGGTGCGATGCAGCGCAGGTGTGAACACTGGCAGGGAGGTCAATTGATAGTGGCTTATAATGGCTATTTAAACATTTTCACCATCAAAAGGAACATTTGAGCATCAGAAACGGAATGTGCAAGTCTCTATGTATACCATGAATCCTATAAATAATACCTAAGTGGAAGAGACAGATGGAGAGAAAGATTACCAGAAATAGAAAAAAAATAACCATTCTACATGCAACACAGTAAAACTGACTCATGGAACACCATCAAGATATGCCTCAGCCTTTGTGAAAATTTGTTTGGAAATAGGATGGTTACTCAGTTTCAAAGCCTGGCAGATTTAGGATGTGCTGTTATTGTTACATGCGAAGAGAAGTTTTTCTTTTCCATCACTTAACCAAGTGACCAGATGCTTCAGCAGTGATGCACCACGTTGACGTCATGTGCCCAGGCAGGGACACTCAGAAGAGGACAAACTATCACCTGTGCATTATTCCTGTTGAGCATCTCCAACTTGATCTCATAGCTGAGAAAATAATCAGGCTGATTGAAACTGAAGAACATTTGTACAACAGCTGTCGTGGGTGACTCAGGATGTCAGCATCACAAGAAACCAAAATCTAAACACAAGTAACTAACTGGAATAGAATTTTATTATGTTATTTTTGTACATTTTCTGCACAGTGAAACATTTCAAAAGAAAATCCTGGAACTACAAAAATCACTTTAAAACTTTTTATATCATTGGTGTCCCAAGGAGTCTCCTTTCTGATTTTTTTTTTATGTAAGAGCTGTTATTTTGGGGGGTGTTCAAATTAATATAAGCATTTACAATTGAAATCAAATGTGGGCTGAAAATAGAGATATTTTAGTCTGGTATGTTTCTCATCAATTTACACCTAATATTTCTCATTAATTTACATTAGCTTTTGTTTTCATTATTATGTTGTTGTTGTTGTCATTTTATGTCTAGATTGTTATCGTGGCAATGGGAAAAATTACATGGGCAACTTATCCAAAACAAGGTCTGGACTTACATGCTCGATGTGGGACAAGAATATGGAGGATTTACACCGGTATATAGATTTCTTTCTTCCTACTTCTAAAATGGGATGATAGTAGTAATTATATATTCAAATATACACACCGTTATTTCCTTCTATTTTTTAGTAGAGTTAGCCAATAGAAGTAATAAATTGATTCTGTCTATATAACTCAAACGATTGTTTTCTGTCTATAGTAAACAATAACATATAATTTAATCAGTACACACTTGTGCAACACTTAATATTAGATTTTAAATATAATACAGTGAGGAACCAAAAATGTAGAAATGTAGTTTCATGAATTTTCATGAAGGGATCTAGTAACATTGACAAAAGCATTACATAACTCAACAAGACAGTGTAGTTGCCAGTTCAAGGGTGATAGCATTACCAAAATTAAGATTAATAGTGGTTTGTGAAATAAAAATAAATAAATGATCTTTTATAAGCATATTTATATTAAAAACCCACTGGACTACTAAAATTAATTGAAGCAAATTTTCTCTAGTACCTGTAATGTATAAAACTTTGAAATCAGGACAGTAATGCACTTGTAACTTAAGAAGATATTTATATTTTGAAGAATTATAAATATTGATGTTGGCTACTTTCTTTTCTTTGTGGTTTTTTTGAGACGGGGTTTCTCTGTGTAGCTTTGGAGCCTATCCTGGCACTCACTTTGGAGACCAGGCTGGCCTCGAACTCACAGAGATCTGCCTGCCTCTGCCTCCTGAGTGCTGGGATTAACGGTGTGTGCCACCAATGCCTGGCTATGTTGACTATTTTCTTAAGGAAGATAGTATCCACATGTCACTATAAATAATATTAGCACTTGTAAAACTATAAATGAAGACTGACATATAGTTGTCACCTAAAACAGATCCCTCGTATGCCCCAGAATAAAAGAAAAGTTAGGATCTCCAGTTAAATGCCTGCCACACAGCTTCTTAGATCATATTTGTGATACTTTATCTTCATATTATTATATGGAAGATACTTCTACATGTGTATAAGGAATCGAGGTTTCTGGGAAGTTGAATCACTGTACTTCAGGTTGTATTTTAAGTGTGAAGTTTGTCTCTGCTAACTTAGGTACAACCATGATTGATATTTTTTAATTAATTGACTTCACAAATAATTAGTAATAGGATATATAATTTTTTAGACAGGGTGCCATTATATAATTCAAGGAGGCCTTTAACTCATGAGCATTTATGATGCAATTTTGGAATTTCTGAGAGTACAGATGTGCAACAATATATCTGTTGCTAATCATTCTTAATTTACTCACATTAGCTTTATTTTGGGGGGACCAATTAAAAGTCACTTCAAGACATTTTGGAGGAAATTAGTGAATTATTGAGGTGTATATTAACATTTTGGTTTAAGAATGAACGACTCAAGGATGATGTAGACAATGGTGATTGAAAACAGCCTTTGGTTCCAACATCACCTCTGCTATTCACAAGTCAAGTGACTTAAAATAAGTAGTTTTCTCTTAGATTCTTGGTGTCTCCAAGCATAATAAGTACAGCATTGTCTTAGAGCCTCCCTTGTAGGGTTCATTGAAGAGTGTATAAGTAACAACAAAATCAGGCATATGGGAATTATACAGTCTTCTGTTTTGATAAGTCTGGAAAGTGAACCTGCATGGAAAGATAGTCCAAGCTTCCACATGCAAGCTCTTTCCAGTTTTAATTTAAACCATGTTTAATTATATTCAAAAATAGTAGTAATTAATAACACAAAGCATTTATTTACAGTTTTTAGTGACAATCAGAAGTCACTGTGTAGAACTTGACTTAAGATTCCTGATGCATATACAAATACAGATGATAACAAAAGTTGGCATAATCTTATAGAATAATAAGTTTTTTTATTTTGAAGTAGAAGTTCATATACAAGTTGGAAAATTTTGTTACTTAGGTACCTGCCTGAAAAACTCTAATTTACTAGTATTAAACCAAGGAAAGTTTAGAATTTAATTGGAAATTTATTAATAACTTTCTCATTCATTGTGACAATTATGTTGCTGGTGATGATTTTTATGTATGAGAAAGATAAAAAGTATGTTGTAGTAGCCTATATTGTCTACATATTCTATATTGTAATCTTCAATATCTAACTGCTTTCCTTTTAGATAGTGCTTCTCAAAATGTATTTTTTTTTCATCATAAACATTAAGTAGAAGCAAGGTCACAAAATGTCTCCCAATTTTATATGTGCTAATTATGTAGCCCTATTTTCTATTCCCTAAACTTGTAAATTGAAAGTATTCCTCCAAGCTATGAGAGCAGTACCCTTTTGTTGAAGATGTAATGAAAGAGGTGTGTTGAGATCATATCTTCTTGTAACATATTCTTCTCTTGGATGGAAAAGACACTTCCTAATGTCTAGCTTGCTTTTATAGTCATATTTTCTGGGAGCCAGATGCAAGCAAATTGAATAAGAATTATTGCCGGAATCCTGATGATGACGCCCATGGACCTTGGTGCTACACGGGGAATCCTCTTATTCCTTGGGATTATTGCCCTATTTCCCGTTGTGAGTACATGTCATGTTCTTTTTTAGATAAATGTATCAAATCAAAAGCAACAATATTACATATGTGATTGTACTACAAACATTTCAGGGAGGCTGCTTCATGCATTGTAGGAAACTTAGTTCCTTTGATGTATTTACTGGTGGCCAGAAACAACATTTTCTCCACCAGCCCTGGAAATCAGGCCCCTCCCCTGCTATTCTCTTTCCTTACAACCCCTTCTCTTCCCTGACCTCTACCACTTCTTTCCTAGAATAGAAGCAATTGTGCTTATTTTACAAAATTCCTACCCTAAGACATTTTCTGTTTGGAAGAAACAAGCAGTAAATTGTCTTGGGGTTAGTATGTTTGGGGTTAGTGATTCATCCCAGCATCAGCATCACCTATTCATCCTCTGGCTACAGCAGAGCTCTTAGGAACTTTCTAATTCTGCAAGATAATTACTAAAGCACATGGAGATTGAACTCTACTTCTCTAAGTGAAAGATAACGTCTTAAAAAGTATTAATATGTAAGTGATAGGTATAAAGTATCATTTGACATGTCATATATTCCACATTTAATGAAATATGACAATAAATAGAACCGTGAGAATTCAGGAGAAAAAGACAAAATCGGTCGTTTGGAATAAATATAGTTAATAAATTAAATGAATTAAAACCAGCAAGGAAAAGGCTGAAATTTTTAAGAAACCATTTCTAAAATCAGATGCAGCAATTAAATTATTAAAATTGAAATATTTAATCTTTTTTGTAGTTCTGGGGATCAAACCCATGGTTTACATGTTTTCACTGTCACAATTCTAGGGACGGCCACCCCATCACTCCCTTTTTCTGAGCATTCATATTATTTCATTGCATCTTTACATGACATTTTATGGCTAAGAATAATAAAGGCTTATGTAGTATACAGCCATGGAAGGATAAAGAAAAATTACCTGCCTTTCAAAGTGGATCATAGCGATTTCCCTGTTAAGTCTAGCTTAACCTTGAATAAATGTATAGATCGGAGCAATGGAGGGTTTGTGGCTTGGTTTATAAGCTTAAGGTTGGCAGCACTCATGATTTTCAGGTTTTCAAAAACAGATAGATACTCAACAGACTTCTGCAAGCCAAAAATCAGCAAGATGCCGTTGTAAGATGCCAGTGTGTTGTCAGTGTTGACTTAAAAACTTTTACCAATAACTCACTTTTATTTCAATGTGTACTGAACATTATTTGCAATACATATTTTTACACAGTCATTTTTTCAACTTATATTTACAGCTAGGATTTATTTACATTTTCTCCTCGTTGAAAGGCTAATGCAATTTATCTTTAGGAGATGTGAATTCTTATTATTTATTTAACCTCAGAGACAATATTCATCATTTTTGCATTCACAAAACATGTGAAGATTTGAGTCTTTAAAATTACCAACTAGTATCTAGCATATATTGTGGCCTGAAGTTTATCAAATGGGCAATAACAAAGAAATGGCTATGTTTTGTATATGTATATGCACATTCGCATTTGATGTATTTTACAAAACCTATAGGTATTGATAGTGTAGTAGTTGATTTCAATTTATATTTTATAAGTAGAATACCAGTTGTACAGCTCTAAGTCAAGCTACTTATCCTACTTATGATACGTATTCTGTATTTTCAGAATTTTATAATGAAAGTAGCAATTTTACTGGACTGTTATGAATATAATATGTAAGAACAAAAGCTGTTTGTATGTATTCATTCTTTTGTAATGTTTATTGTGCTGCTATTATATACAAATGCTTATACAACATGTAGTAGTTCAAAGTTATCTATACATCTTTTCTTTACCTCAAGTGCTTTACATTATGGAGGAAACAAAAAAACTATAATCATGTTGTAAATTTAATATATATTCATATTAACATATAAAATAATGATGAGAATATGGATGTTTGGATGGAAACATAAGGTATATCCATAATCCTTTGAATTTTGGCCAGAATTTAACTATACAAAATGAGGTTTCTTCATGTTTTCCATAAGAGCCCATAAACTATAGTTCGAACTCTGTTCAAACACACACGCGCGCACACACACACACACACACACACACACACACACACACACACTAAAAAGAAAAAAACACTTCCAATCTTATAAAAGTAAGACTTTTATAACTGATGAAATTGTAAAATGGTTTCCTTCATATTTTAGTTGAATCATGGGAACAAAAGTTAGTCTCCATAGGTCAGATTTGAGTTGTGGGGCAGGTGGAGAAAAGAAAGCCAAAGGGAGAGATACGTGGCAGTTTCTCAGTGTTTTTCTTACAGTACGCACCAAAAGAACTTACTATGTTCAAACAAACCCAGAAAACTAAAATTCCCAGAATCTGGTTTTATGTGACATTTCAGTTTATTCTTAAGTTTGAGAATGCTGAACTAGAGTAATTGAGCTCTTGATTATTGTTAAGCCATTAATTATGAAAACTTCAGACCTAAAATCCCTTTAAATCTTTCAAACTAAATAAAGATAAAACTATGAAGTTGTGTAACATATTTAATGTGGGATTAACTATAGAATGAATATCTTAATCTTTGTTGTGACAATGTAAAGGAACGGATATCAATTTTGCTCAAGCATTTTAAGTAATTTACTAGAGTAGACCAACCCATATCTTTCCTGTGTTAGTGGCTCTATGTGGGCCTCAGTGCTTGCTTCCTTTTGTTAAGGACTGAAAACTCAGGTCTCAGATGACTGCAAGGGAACACCCTCACATAAAGTAATGATGAAATTTATGTTTGCCTGTATCTTTATCCACCTATAATATCTCAACCTGGAACGCACGCATAAATAAAAACCCTTTAGCGAGCATTAATTCTCTCAAGTACTCTCATAAATAACAATCACATTTGCATTCCAAAGGTGTCTATGTGTCATTATTGTTTTGTTGCTAGATTATCCGAGCTCAGGGCATTTCCAGGGATTAACGGCCAGCTGGGTCTAAACCGTGCCTGGCTGAACTCTATGCCATCAATTCTGAAGAGTTAAGACATTAAACCCCAGGAAATGTCTTGTGTCTCATTCATTACTGTTCAAGTACTTCCAAAATCCTAGCATCCTTTAAGCCTTTCTTTATGCAGCAATTAAACCCCAGTAGAGAGTTCAAGGAAAAGGAATAAGTCATGAGAGTTCAGGTAGAGTTATGTGTAGTATCCAGTGTTTTTTCAAACTTTTTTTCAAACTTTTTTTCAAACATCTGGAAAAGCTAACTTTTGGCATATTCTATCAACAAAAATAATTATTTACCCCCATTTCTCCAGAGATGACATTAATTTCTATTTTCTAAATTCTTGCATAGGTTTACAAAGCATGTGCAGTTTCAATTATCTTCAATCAAGTATAAATAAAAGTAGCTTTTAGAAAAAAGAAAGCCAACAGTTTAAATTGCACTAAAAATTAAACAGTCCGTCTGCACAGCCTCTGCTCAAACAATAATGAACATGAATTCTAGTGTATAGAATGGCCTTGGTGTACAGTACCGAATATCTTACAGAGTGGGATAATCTTTAGCTCCTGTTTGTAATCCAGTCTGTCAAAGGCCCTGAAGTTACACATACCTGCAGTCTTCAGAGTCACAAAGAAGGCTTCTTCATATTATGTAGTGCCAAGAGGCAGATACTTGCAATGATAAATGGGAAAAGGGATAGAATTATTCAGAAAATATCTGTTAAATTAATAACTTATTTTGATATCAATAATGTTAGGAAATTATTCATTTTTAGTGAATGAAATACCAATAAATTATCATGAATAATTAGATTTCAATGCCATAGTTTGCTTTTATATAGATGAATATGTATACATGAAATATAATATGTATCATAATATTCGTTTCTGCAGGTGAAGGCGATACCACACCTACGATTGTCAATTTGGACCGTGAGTAATATTCAAAATATAAAATATAATTGACTATATGTCACAAATGATTTCATTATTATCTTCATAGAATAAAGATAGAAAAATGTTACAAGTAAATCTGTGGTTTGTATGAAAAGTATTTAGCACTGTAATAGCATCCCCTCTAAAGTCAATGTATTGTTTTCTATTTTATTTTAAAATTATTATGCATGTATGTGTGTCTGTAAGGGAGTAAGTGCACATTGATGCAGTAGCTCAAGGAGATCAGAATATGGTGTCACATGTCCTGGAGCTAGTAGGAAGCCACCTGAAGTAGGTGTTGGGTACTCCAAGAGCTGTACTAACTGAACCATTTCTCTGGCCTCTATTTGCCTTTATTTTAAAATTTGTATTTCCCTGGTTGTGATGTAAAATAGTAAAAAAAAAACCTGTATATGACTTTGAAAAGTATATTTACACACTTTTAATTTGGGGAACACCACATGTAAAGGATCACATTTATGTACATTACCGTCCAAGAGACATGAGATTACTAAAGGCAGAAATAGAGAGGCCAGGTTTTGGACAGTTCCATAGCTTCTGGACTCTGTTCACCCTTAAAGCTCTTCTCCAGCCCTGTGGTCTGCTAGGTAAGAGATGACAGCATCTGAGATAGTGACTTCAGGCTCAGAATAAGGGTCTGGTGAAGCACTTTTTGTTTATTTGTTTGTTTGTTTGTTTCACATACTTCTTAGACTGAAAGAAGTTATTCAAGTATTTTGTTGTTTATTTAAAAATGGGGATGGCAAGTACCATGGGCCTGACAATCAAATGTAGTTCTTCCTCCAAAATGTTGTTTCAATAAATCACATTAGTTACATCTGTCTAACTATCATAGAACTTGATGAAAGTAAAAGTCACTGCGTAATGCCTTGATAGCATGTTTTATGTGGTCTTGTTTTTTCAGATCCTGTAATATCCTGTGCCAAAACAAAACAACTGAGAGTTGTAAATGGCATTCCAACACGAACAAACGTAGGATGGATGGTTAGTTTGAAATACAGGTAATTATGATCACTAATCACAATATTATGAATATTTACAAAAGTATACTTTCAGTTTAAGATTGCAGGAAGACTGTGCTGTATACAAGACAGTAATCTGGAGATGAAGGACTGATTTGTGTCTTTCCAAACTGCATAATGGATTGTATAATATGTGCACATGATAATCTTTATAAGTTTTAATATTTTCCATTAATACTGATTCTATGTAGCACTGGTACTGATGAACTGGAAGAAAATGATACAAAAGACCTATTTATACCTTACTGTCACCATGATAGCTATGGTACATATATTAATTTTTAAATCTAGGATATTTTAAATTTATTTTCCAAGATGTTTACACAATCACAGAAATGATGTTTTTGTGTCCAACATCACTGAAATGAAAAATACAAATTTAAAGTGCTTTTATTATGAGGATCAATTTCCTATTATAATAATTGGGTGTTTTTGATTTTTGTAATCAGCTTGGATACAGAAGTTTTAATATGTCTATTTCTCAAAGGTCTTAAGAATTAACAATATGATCTGTATAAAGTCAATATGCAAGTTATATAATAGAAATGTTTAGAACTATGCCATAAAAATCAAATATCTGACTTATATTGTGTATATCCTATACATATTAGTCCACAGAGCATTTTCAGTCAAAGTTCTTAGCAACCACAGCTGTTTGGTTATTTTTCCAAAACACACACTGAAGGGAATAGAAGCTAAGGCTCAATATATATTGTTATCCTCCTGTGTGGTAAGGCATAAATAAGTGTCCCTTCATCTGAGAGTTTCAAGTGCTGCCCTCTGAAGCCCTGAGCAGCTGTTCTCCTTGGAAATGAGACTTGTGGAAAACTATAGTCTCTTTATTTTTCTGCCAAAAAAGAAATGGATATACAGATTTTGGAAATCATCATCTAAATTCAATAGTTCTTATTCTTCTGTAAAAATATTTTAAAATTTCTTAGATGATTTTTCTTGAAAAATTATTTTACTTTCATAATTGGAGAACTATATTAGCGATCTTACAATTGACAAATTTATCCAAACCCAGTTGTTTTTATCACATCAAAACTAAATAGTGAATCTGGAAGTATAGCTCAGTGTAGAACACTTTTAGTGTATGCAAGACATTTGGCATATCCAGGGCCCCACCAAAAAGCAAAACCCAAAACTACTAAACAATGGTCAAGGAAAGAGAATGGCGTAAAAGTAAAAAAATAAAACATTGCCTCCATCGAATAGTTTTTCAGAGTTGTTTAATGAAATCTCAAATTATCATTTTTATAATTAAATGCTCAACTTTAAATACCTCTACAATCTTATTCATTCAAATTATTCTATATTTGCACCATTATTGTAGATGGTCATACACATGAATGAATTCATTGGGAATATGTACTGGTGTATAGTGACTGTATTTTCTATTGTAAACTTGAAGCCCTAAAATTTGGTCACACTGTGAAAATAATCATGGATGCCACACTGCACAAACACCATCATCAGATGAAAGCACTGTTGTGTGTTGTTCTGAGTAGATTGTTTTCATTCTTCTGGACAGTTGACTTGCTTTTTCAGTAGTTTGCAGGCAAATTTTGTTTTTCTGTAATGATGTTACTTGGTTTTTTTTTTTTTTATCTCTTTTCACAGAAATAAACATATCTGCGGAGGGTCCTTGATAAAGGAAAGTTGGATTCTTACAGCTAGGCAATGTTTTCCTGCCAGGTAAGGTGGTTTTAAAATCAGCATTTGTTTGTCTCATTTCAATACATCTATTTTTATTTTGTTATTTAGCATTTTTTTTACAGAAATTCATCAGAACAAGTGAACCATTTTGTTATTTTAAATTAAATATAAGGTGAAGATGACAGGGAAGGCTTGTAGATTCAAAACACCTTTATTCAGACAAATACCAGCAAAGTGCAAGCCAGAGCGTGCCCACAGGTCACAAGCTAGGGTGGCCAGAGAGAAGGGGCTATCCAGTGTGCCCAGTCACTTAAGAATCGTTCCCATGTCATCTTTGACCTCCCCTGACCACACCTGTGAGGGCATGGCCATGCATACCTATAGGGGCTACTAGGAGACTGGGCTACAGTGTCTCCCTATAATAAGGTGTGTGTGTGTGTGTGTGTGTGTGTGTGTGTGTGTGTGTACTTGATGTGGCTTGCATGTTTACGTAAGAACTGACTTGTGGGAGTCAATCCTACCCTTCTACCACATGGGTCTCAGCGATCAAATTCAGGTTATCAGGCTTGGCCATAAGCATATTTACCTACTGAGTCATGTTGTCAGTCCTTCCTTTTCAAATTTGATTATAGAAGTTTAGCTTCACTGATATTTTCATATTTAGTGCTTCTTCAGTATTTAGTGTTTATTCAGCTAGCTTTTAATTCATGATTGGCCTAGGTCTCACTTAGAAAAAATATTTCTTTGAATTATGTAAATAAGCCTTATCCCAACTTCCCATGTGCACTCCGTGTTTCTGGAGGCAAACACTTCCGATGATCAGCAGGCTTCCTCAAATCTTTGTGTGTAGAGACAGCTTTAGGACCAACTTGGGAATAATTTCAAAGGCAATGACATCAGCAAGGATAAGGAGGCTGTGCTTAGAGCTTACTTCTTAATTCTTTTCATACCACAGGTTTTTGTGTGTGTGTGAAAAAAATGTTTTTTGGATATAATTCTTTTCTTTTTTTCAACTTTTTTTTATTTGAATTAGAAACAGGATTGATTTATATGACAATCCCAGTTCCCTTCTCCCTCCCATCCTCCCCTAACATCACCCCCAACTAAAACCCTATGTATCACATATCCTTTCTTCTCCTCTTGGATGATAGGCCTTCCATAGGGTGTCATCAGTGTCTATTGTATCCTTTGGGATAGGGCCTAGCACCCCCCCTCCCCCGTGTGTGTTGGCTCAGGGAGTATTCCTCTATATGGAATGGGCTCCCAAAGTCCACACCTATACTAGGGATAAGTACTGAAATTCTACAGGTGTCCCGTAATTTTTGAGGTTACCTCACAGAAACCCATGTTCCTGGGGTCTGGATCAGTCCCATGCTGGTTTTCCAGCTATCAGTCTGGGGAGCAAGAGTTCCCCGATGTTCAGTTCATCTCTTTCTGTGGGTTTCACCAGTCTGGTCTGGACCCCTGTGCTCTTCACTCATCCTTCTTTGCCTCTGGGTTCCAGTTCCGTTCGGTGATTAGTTGTGAGTGTCTGCTTCTACTTCCACCAGCTGCTGGATGAAGGCTATAGGATGGCATATAAGTTAGTCATCAATCTCATTATCAGGGTAGGGCAGTTAAGGTAGCCTCTCCTCTGTTGCTTAGATTGTTAGCTGGTGTCATTTTGGAGATCTCCAGACATTTCCCTGGTGCCTGATTTCTCTGTAAACCAAAATGTCTCCCTCTATTATGATATCTCCATTCTTGTTATCATCTATTCATCCCTGACTCAACCTTTCTGCTCCCTTATGTCCTCTGCATCCCCCCTCTTCTCCCCTTCTCATTCTCCTAGCTCCCTCCCCTCTTCCCGTGCTCCCACTTTGCTCAGCATATCTTGACCCTTTCCCCTTCTTCAGGGGACCTTGTATGGCTCTCTTAGGGTCCTCCTTGTTCATTACCTTCTTTGGCAGTGTGGATTGTAGACTGGTAATCCTTTACTCTATGTCTAAAATCCGCATATGAGTGTTACATACCATGTTTGTCTTTTTGTGATTGGGTTATCTCGCTCAGAATGGTTTCTTCTAGATCCATCCATTTTCCTGCAAATTTCAAGATTCCATTGTTTTTTTCCACTGAGTAGTACTCCATTTTGTAAATGTACCACAGTTTCTCTATCCATTCTTTGGCTGGGGGGCATCTAGTCTGCTTCCAATTTCTGGCTATTACAAATAGTGCTGCTATGAACATTGTTGAACAGATGTCCTTGTTGTATGAATGTGCTTCTTTTGGGTATATGCCTAGGAGTGGAATTGCTGGATCTTGTGGTAGACTGATTCCCATTTTCTTGAGGAGTCGCCATACTGATTTCCAAAGTGGCTGTACAAGTTGGCACTCCCACCAGCAGTGGAGAAGTGTTCCCCTTTCTCCACATCCTCTCCGAGATGCACTGTCATAGGTGTTTTTGATTTTGGCCATTCTGACAGGAGTAAGATGGTATCTCAGAGCTGTTTTGATTTGCATTTCCCTGATGGCTAAGGATGTTGAACACTTTCTTATGTGTCTTTCAGCCATTTTAGATTCCTCTATTGAGAATTGTCTATT